TGTACATATACTCATAAAACACAGACACAAGCACACACAACACATTGAAACAAACCCTAAAAGCCAGGTGTGGTGGTACACACCTTTAATCCCAGCAAAGGCAGGTAAATCTCTTTGTGTTCAAGGCTCCATGGTCTACAAAGCAAGTTCCAACACAGCCAAGGCTGTTTCACAGAGAAACCCTGTCTCAGCGTCCCCCCACCGCACTAACTAGTTGTAAATGGATTTTTCTTTGGGCTGCCAGCTCACAGATCATGACACAGAGACTTACTATTAATTATAAAAGCTCAGCCTTAGTTTAGGCTTGTTTCTAACTAGCTCTTATAACTTACCCCATACTTTTAACTACGTTTTCCACATGCTCAATACCTAATCTCCATTAGACTCATCCTAGTTACCCCATGTATGGCTGGCGGCTTTTCCTCTCTTCTTCCCAGGGCTCTCTGTCCCCAGAAGTGCCGCCTAACCTCTTCCTGCCCAGCTAATGGCCATTCAGCTCTTTATTAAGCCAATCACAGTGACACATCTTCACACAGTGTAAAGGAATAATCCACAATAGCTAGCTGAAAATTGAAGTCTTAACTCAATAGAACTTGTATATTGCTTGGGATTCTACACATAGATGATAACAAGATGAAGAAAGGGAAAGATATGGTTAATACATAAGTCTGGATAAGGGCTGTCTCGGGGTGACTGTGGGGCAGAGAGAAGGACGGGGGTAGGAGACTTCAACATATTGTTCAATTCTGTTTCTTACAGAGAGTGGCATATATTGCTTATTTGCAAATAGGAAACAGAAGCTGTCCATAATTTTTTACATTTTCATTTTCACATGTGGTATACTTTGAAAATTTAGAGGAGTGTAACTGTAAGGTGACTTTAAAGGGAGTTTTGCTTCAACTGTTTGTGTTTATGGTGTGTGTGTGTGTGTATGTGGTGTGCATTCAGGTAGACAGGTGCCATGGGGAAACCAGACAGCTTTCAGGAGTCTGTTCTTTCCTTCTACCGTGAGATGTGGGGATTGAACTCAGGTTGGTATTCTTTAACACTTTTACCCAGTGAACCATCTCTCTGACCCTTTGGAGGAATTTTAAAGTGTTTAAGAAGACACCATTAAATGGCAGAGCAGTCCAGTGAATTTTAATGTGCCTTCAAAACAAGGGAGGTACTTGGCGATGAAGAAGAGCAATGCTCACCTGCAGTTCTAAAAGCGTGATGTTGGCCCAGTGGCATAGGTATTGCTGGGAATTTGCCAGAAACAAATTCTGAACATCTTCTAAATCTAAAACTCTGGCACACGGCCTAGAAATCTACATACATTTCTGGGTTTCTAATTCACATATCACTTGGGAAGGGTAAGAAACACCCAGAGGTAAATGCCATCTACTATCTCTTAAAGACTGGGGGCTAAAATCGTGCATCCCAGAAGACAGATGTAGGGTACAGAAGCAGGTGGGTGAGTGATAGAAACAAAGAGAGATGGCAGGTTCCTCTTCTAAGGATTGATATTGTGTGTGTGTGTGCGTGTGTATGCCTGTGTGCGTGCATGTGTGTGTATGCCTGTGTGCGTGCATGTGTGTGTGCATGTGTGTGTATGCCTGTGTGCGTGCATGTGTGTGTGTGCATGCATGTGTGTGTATGCCTGTGTGTGTGCATGTGTGTGTATGCCTGTGTGTGTGCATGTGTGTGTGTGTGCATGCATGTGTGTATGCCTGTGTGTGTATTCCTGTGTGCGTGCATGTGTGCATGTGCACAGGGGCTGGAGTCACATGGGCTATTGTGAGCTGCCTGACATGGGTGCTGGAAACTAACTTAGGTCCTCTGCAAGAGCACTGGGTGCTCTTCAGCACTGAGCCATCTTTCCAACCCAGGCGGTAGATTCTTTATTTTGAAATTATTTATATTTTATTTTTAATTTGTTTTTAATACATTGTATTAGTCAGGGTTCTCTAGAGAAACCCTAACTGTTAGGATGGCTAAATACGTCCATATATACTCATATACATGGGATTTATTAAAGTGGCTTACAGGCTATGATCTGACAATTGCAACACAGGCTGTTTCTCAACGGAAAGTCCAAGAATCTAGCAGTTGTTCAGTCCACAAGGCTGAGTGTCTCAGCTGGGCTTCCGTAGACATCAGAATGCTGAAGAAGTAGACTCTAGTGTCAGTGAAAAAATGGACTTGTCAGCGAGAGTGAGGGCAACCAGGGAAAGAGCAAGCTTCCCTCTTCCGCGTCCTTTATAAAGGTTGCCACCAGCAGGTGTGGCCCAGATTAAGGGTGGATCTTCCCACTTAAAAAAAATCCAGATTTAGGGTGGGTCTTCCTATTTTAAATGATTTGATCAAGAAAAATCCCTTACAGGTATACCCTATACATTTTATTTAATTCCTGATGCAGGCAAGTGGGCAACCAAGAATAGATATCACATACATTTTAATTAAAACATGATTATATTACTTCCCCTTTCCTTTCCTCCCTCCAGCCCCTTCCATGTCCCCTCCCTCCAGTGCTTCCCACATCGCTCCCTGACTTTCAAGCTGATGGCCTCTTTATTATTACATATGAGTACAGATAGATGCACAACACATGATGCAATCTCCTGAGTCCTTTGGTTTCAGAGATGACCACTTTGTATTGGATAAGAATTCAGTGCTCATTCCTGGGAGGGGCTAATTTCCCACTCTAGCAGTCATCAGTTGCCTGTAGTCCTTTGTCTAGGGTGGGACTTCATGAGACGCCCTCTTCCACATTAGCATGTCTATTCAGGCAAAATATCCTTTCATTCTTTAAAAAAAAAAAACAAAAGCTAAGAGCTAAGATGTATTACATTTTATTCTAAACTTATCACATGCTATAACTCATTTAATCCTGGAATAATCCTACAAGGGATGTATTTTTATAATCTCAATTTTACATTCAGAAGCTGAGGTTCACAGAGGTGAAGGGCTTATTAAGGAAGAAGTTTATGGGTGTCTGGCTCCTGGACACCAACACACTACACCTTACATTGTAATTGATGACAGGCAAGAGGAGGGCCACAGAAAGATACATGTGTCAAGAAAAATAAAACAATCAGTGCAGTGTAAGATCACTGAGCTGGAGTGGTTACATGTCCAGCTCTGGGTCCAGCGGCAGATTCTAACTCCTGCAATTTCATTCGTTACTAATAAGCTGTGAAACACGCAATGAACACCTGTTTACATTGGAGATGTTTGGATGGAAAAGTTAAAATATGCAAAATAGAATAATAATCTGGCACTGAAGCACATAATCAATATTAAATATTATTTTTCAATCAAAATTCCTTCAATCTGAACATTATGGGTGATCTTCAAACACAAGACAATCACTCAGCATTTAATGTTCTCTTGTTAGGGCAAAAGGGCTATAGACTTGGAGATCTCTTGAAAGGCAAAAGTCGGAGCAATGGCAGACACATAGATATCTTCTCTAGTTAACTCACTAAATCATTCTGAGGCACATAGGACGTGAATGTACTAGTTACCATATTCTAATTTCCATAATAGAGGTTAACCTTTCTAAACATTATTACTTTTCTATTCCTTTAGGGACAGTTTTAATTCCGGGAACCACTCAGCTGACCCAGAAAGACATCCTCTACAGACTACAGTCTTCAAAAGCAAAGTGCATTATTACTGATGATGCATTAGCCCCAGCCGTAGATGCTGTGGCAGCTAAATGTGAAAATCTCACCTCCAAACTCATTGTGTCTCAGCACTCCAGAGAAGGGTGGGGGAACCTCAAGGAGATGATGAGGTGAGTAGCCTCAATCTTAGAACAATGCCCCACAGAGAGAAGCAAGACAGAGAAAAGTATTCAATTCAGTATAAGGGAGGTAAATGCAAATGAAAGCAATAATTAGCAAAAATAATCAGCGATCATTACAGAACTAACAGTGCCAAGCTTTGAAGTACGGAGTCTGGTTGAGACTTTTAAAAAGCGGTCCTTGAGATGGAGAATGGTGTACAGGAGGCTTACCAGGGAGTTCTCTTGTGAAAGAAGAGAAGGATGTAGGATTGAGCAGAGGAAGAGATTAATTTTCTATGTATTCCCTATGAAGCTCTCAGCTAACACACTGGGAATCCTGGGCTTTGAATCAATCCTTAGGGCTGTGAAAATCTATAGTAGAAGACCCTGCAGTGTTCACCTGTTTTGGATGGGAACTGTCCCTAGCAGACTCACAATTGTGAAGGTAGCCATTCACATCACACAAGTAAAAGGGCAGAGATAGAGCCGTCTTTACCTCAGGACTGAATCCAAGTTACTGGTTCATACGCTGAAGAGGCCCAAGCACATGGGTGTTCGAGTCCTCCTCAGAGGTCACAGTTGGGCACTGTATACATGTAGACTGTATACTGTATACTGTAGACTGTCTTTTGCAGACATGCCAGCGACAACCATACCTGCGTGAACACAAGGCACAATGAGATGATGGCCATCTACTTCACCAGCGGGACAACCGGGCATCCTAAGATGATCGGACATACCCACAGCAGTTTTGGTTTAGGATTATCTGTCAACGGAAGGTACTTCCATGGAGTCATTTGTGCACTGGCCTTTTAAATTTGTTTTTCAACAAATTTACATGCTTTGCACATTTAAATTTCTACATACATTTGTGTGCATGCAATTCCTACCACTTTAACAAATGTATACAACAGGGCTGTTTGTATTCCAGATTCTGGCTGGATTTGACAGACTCGGATGTGATGTGGAATACGTCAGACACAGGTTGGGCAAAGTCTGCATGGAGTAGTGTTTTTTCTCCATGGATCCAAGGAGCATGTGTGTTTGCACACTATTTGCCCCGTTTTGAGCCGACTTCCATCTTGCAAGTAAGGCAGACCAGAGGAGGTTCATGGTTAGAGATGTGTTAGCATTAGTGGTATCACCGATGCACTGGCAACTAAAGTAAATGCAGGGATCAGAGTTTTAAGATATCTACCTCTGCAAAGTCCACAAAGACAGGAGAAGATCTGAGTACATTAACATCAAAATAAAGTTTACATTGTGCTGTGCCTCTGGCAGATCAAACATTTCATGTGAGACAATTTGCTCTTTCCAAACTGCAGACCCTCTCCAAGTTCCCCATCACTGTCTTCTGTTCTGCGCCAACTGCCTACCGAATGCTTGTACAGAATGATACCATCAGGTGAGACATGGGTAAAGGGACACTCAGTCAGGGGAGAGAGGAGGAAAAGGAAGCTAGAAATGAAACACTTGTCTGTCCAACCAACAGATCTGACTAGTCGGTATAGGATAGTGGGTTTTTTTCTCTTCCTCCTTTGCTTTATTGTTGACATTTTATAAAGATAGTCGCTGGTCAAGATCAGGTTCCCACTAACAGAGAGAAGAAAGGGAAGATTAGACCATGTCTAGAGCTCTGAGTGTAGTGAGTGGTTATAATAAAGGGGGTATTTAATCTTTGGGTGACAGCTATTACTGAGCTGAGATAGTAGACAGGTAGTTCCTTTTTGCAAATTCTCCCAGAAAACAAAAGTGAGAATGTATGCATTATATCTCCCGTGATTCCATTGAAATGCTTGATTATTGCTCTGAAAAGAAGCTACTGTCTCTGTGCTCACAGCTCAGCACTTCTGGTCTCCTGTGTTGATGCAAAGCACAGCTCTTGCTCTAAAGAGAGTAAGTCAGAGTTTGTTCTGAGCCAAATAAAACTGCCTATGGGTCAAGGACATGGATTCAGATGACCTTGAATGACATGTTCTACTGTGGAAGCAATTAATGTACTTTCATAGTCACAGAGCAAAAGGAAGGCATGAATCAATGCTTTTGCCCAATACATTGGTGATGGCATCAGGTAGGCAGCCTAGAGGGGAAGCAGAAGGGGACGCTTTCTGTAGATCTCTGGTGCTATAACTGTCTCAGTTTTAGAGTTGGTGGGAACCAGTGACCGTCTACTTTTAACAATACATTTCAAGAGTTTTACCTAATAAAATGAGGATAAGATTAGATACATGAGTTACTAATAAATTACTACTGAGAGTGCCAAGACAATTTTGGGCCTCCATCCCTGACATTCCATCTCACCACAATCATGAAGCGCCGCCACTTAGCCTGTGAGAGCTTCCACACTCATGTGGCATCTTCAGAGAACTTCAGTTCACAGTTGGGAGGTGATTTTTAATAGATTTAAAATATCGTTCTAGAGCTGGGCATAGTGGTACACTTAATCCCAGCACTTGGGAGACAGAGGTCAAGTTCAAAACCAGCATGGTATATATATAGCAAGTTCCAGGGCTACATGTTGCAAGTGTGTGTGTGTGTGTGTGTGTGTAACTATGGGGTTACCGTCCCTAAAGATGTCATGGTATTTCTTTGCAACAAGTGATTCTCTGAGGAGAGACAGACAGACAGACAAACAGAGAACCTAGCATTAGAGCAACCTGCTTTTAGCATCAGAGTTCTACTTTATATATAAGAGAGATCTGCTTATTTCGTATTAGCAATAAGCCTAATTCCCCTGTCTCACCATTTTTTTCTTCTCAACCTAACTCACTCCGTGTTTTTGGAGAAGCTATAAGTTCAAAAGCTTGAAGCACTGTGTGAGTGCTGGGGAACCAATCAACCCTGAAGTGATGGAACAATGGAGAAGGAAGACAGGCCTAGACATCTACGAAGGATACGGACAGACAGAAACGGTACCTGCCCCACTGAAGACAGGGCTAGATGTGATTAGTCAGATAAACAAAAGCCAAAGTGTCTCATGTGTTCTTATGATTGTTCGAGGGATACAGAAAGGTGTGGTTAGGAAACAATTATTTTTTAAATAAAGAAAAGCTTGAGAAAAATTAATTGCAAATAAACTATCATATTTTTGAGAAAAATGATTAACTGGTTGAGGAAAGAATGTCACAATATTTTTAATGAGAAAAGTATTGGCGCTATGTGACACAGAACTTTCTAAAGAGTCACAAAATAGAAAGCAGTTAGTTTCTGGTTCCCCGAAGCATTGAGTGAGCTGGGAGTGTGCCCTTAGAAAGCAGATGCTGAAGCATCCCTGCGACGCCCCCCCCCACACTCTAAAAGTAGAGGGAGGAGGGTCAAATTCAAGGTCATTCTCAGCTATGCAGTGAGTTCAAGACCAGCCTAGGCAATGTGAACAAGCAAATACCTAAAATATATGATATAATAAAATGAATTCTTTAAAGTACTCATGCAGATAAAAAAAAAAAACATTGTTGGGGGGGTTGTAGTTTAGTGGCTGAGCACTTTCCTAGCATATGGGAGACCTCAGTTCAATCCTCAGCACCACTGAAGAGCTCTAGAGAAAACTGATAATGAAGAACATATTTATTTTGTAGTAGAAGGGGCGATAAGACCAGCAGAGAAATGGGAAAGTTGACATCTTCATTGGGTGTGTCTTATTTATAATGTCTGTATTTTTCAACTCTGAGTTTTATTATCTGGCAATGTTGAAATTTCTAAATGAAACAATAATAAAAACTTAATTATTTACACACAACTAGCATAGTATCCATTGTGTTACGCTAAGTACAAATGTTAATACAGACATATATTTTTTCACCTCTTTATTGTGTATAGTTGTAAACTGTCAATATCCATATTCCATGAGAGGAGGGATTTTATGGATTTCCTGCTGACCCTGATGCACAGCTAAGTTCTGTAGTATAAATGCATGGCAGATGAAGTAGTATTTTATATTACTTCTGAAGTTACCTCACTTTCTTCTCCTTAATCAGGTGCTGATCTGTGGAAATTTCAAAGGGATGAAAATTAAGCCTGGCTCAATGGGAAAGCCTTCTCCTGCTTTTGATGTGAAGGTTTGCATGTCTGCTTACACTCACCTACACTCCTTTAAATGTGATATAATTCCATGTTATTTATACCTTAAATTCTACGCCAAAAGACAGATGGGTGAGAAAGGTTGGCTTAATACTCTCTTACTATTGTTGCAAACACCTGTATTGTGCCATGAATTCTGGGCATTTAATTTCCAGAAATATCCTGAACATAAACTAATAAGAGGACCATTCTGCAGGTGAGTATGTAGATAAAGCAAAGAACTTACCCATGCTGGTACAGCCAGAGCCCAGAGTGGGAACACAGTCTTAAGCAATCTGGCTCCAGCAGCCACACTCTTGGCCACCAGTTATGTGGTGAGGGAAGACTGGACCTCTGACAGGATCAACCAGGTTCAAAGTGGCTGCAGCACACACTTCTCTCTCTGCCTGCCCATCTGTTTCCAGGCTTTCTTTAACACGGCCCTTATTACCCTCTGATGCTTGAGTTTCGAAAGCATTTTATTTCCCCATCTGCACACTTTGTACGGGGTTAAAGTTTTATTAGGCCAAGCCAGGTTCAAAGTCAGATATAGACAAAGGATGTGCACTAATATTCATATAAAAAAGGAAGGGAAGCAACAGTGGCAAAAAGGCAAAACTGAATCAATTTCCAAAGGGCAGGGCTCAGACGTAGGTTTAATTGAAGTTTAGTTGTAGATGGGATCAATATTTCTCAGGTTCATCATGCAGTTCACACAGGGTTACGTGACTGAAATAG